TTTGAACTGCCAATCTTCTGGTTAGCAGTCAAGTGCCTTAGGCACTATGCTACCAGAGCTTCTACACCACCAGACCTCCTTAGTTACCCTTTATGTCTGGCTTCCAGCCAAACAATAGACAGGCATATAGGGTGAACATTTACATCAGGTAGATACACTCCTTAGAACCATCAATCATGGGAGAACAGAAGGGCAATATTTGAACAGGGAGGTATCTCAGGGGGCAGGAATGCAAAGGAAAGAAAAACACAGGAAAGAGGTAACAACAAGGAGGAAGTGGGAAGAAAGCTGTTACATTGTGGGAATTTCAGTCAATGCCATGAAACAAAATGTATATGAACTGCTGCATGGACAATGAGTTTGCTCTGTAAACTTTCACCCAGAACACAATAAAAATTTAATAAATAAATAAAATCCAAGACTCCTTATTCACAGCCCAGGGTACTTTCATTGTATCAGTCATCCATTATTGTGTGAGGTACAGGAGCTAGAACTATCTATGACTAAGCCACTGTGTACACAGACCTACTTTGTAGCTGTTCCACATTCCTGTTGTTAGATACAGTTGAATCTCCACCAGTCCTAGTCTCCTCCTAATAGCTGCCATATCTGTACCAACAATTTTGGAATTTCCAAGCATATGGTCAGCAAATGTGTGTGTGTGTGTGTGTGTGTGTGTGTGTGGTGATATTGTTGTTAGTTGGTGGATGCTGAAAATTTAGCTCCAACTTATGATAACCCCATGTACAACAGAACGAAATGTTACCCAGTACATCTTCACAATCATGGAAATGCTCAAGTTCATTGTTGTGGCCACTGTGTAATTTGAGTGTCTTCCAATCTAGGGGGCTCATCTTTCAGCACTCTGTTGGACCTTATTCAATTCCAGTCGTCAGGTTTTTGTTGACTAATTTTCACAAGTAAATCATCAGGCCTTTCTTCCTAGTTAGTCTTCCTCTGGAAACTCCACTGATACCTATCTACTATGTATAACCCAGCTGGGATCTGAAATATCAGTGGCATAGCTTTCAACATCACAGCAACACGTGTGGTAGTTAAGGTTATGTGTCAATTTGCCTGGGCCTGGTTTTGAGTGGCTGGGCAGCTAGATGTAGTTATTCCCCATAATGAGACTGGTAATCAACTCCATGGGAATCTACTGTGAGCAGCTGAGTAGCTGCCTTAGGGATGTGCTCTGCTTCCAGTGTATAAGAAGCTTTAAGAAAGGTCTCTGAGCTTTTTGGCACATCTGGATCCTACATTTGGCTGAGTCTTCTCAGTGGCCTGCCATGTTGTCTGTCAATCTTGAGACTGTTTCTAGACTTGAACTAGTGGCCTGCCATATTGCTTGATAATTTTAGGACTGTAACATTTTACTGGCAGACCTTGGATTTGTCAGCCTCAGCATCCAGCAGCTGCCTGAGTTAAGAGACACTTCTAGCTTCAATGGGCCAGGAGCAAGAGGCAGAGGAGCTAAAGCCCAAGGTTGAGGGGCCTTCACCCAGCCCCTAGAGCTGGCACTTTGAACTCAGACTTCTAGCCTCCTAAACTGTAAGAGACTAAATCTCTGTTAAAGCCATCTGTTTGTGGCATTTTCTGTTAGAGCAACACTGGAGAACCAAAACAACATGCAAGCCACCAGAGTATGACAAACTGGCAGACAGATGGTGGATATATATTTATATTTATGTTTTTTCTTTATACTTTTTATGTACCTGATAAGGAGCTCGGGTGGTATAGTGGTTAAGGCATTTGGCTGCTAACCAGAAGATCAGCAGTCAGAACCCACCATCCACTCCATGTAAGAAAGATGGGCCATTCTGCTTCTGTAAAGATTTATAGACTTGAAAACCCAGTAAGGGGTCAATATGAATCAGAATCAACTTGATGGCTGTGAGTTTGGTTTGGTTTATGTACTTGATACTCCCAGAACATTGTGGATTCTCCAGCAAGAATAAAGATTTGTCTAGCTAAACAAACTTCTCAATTTCATCACCAAAGATATTTCTTTAAACATAGAATTGGGTGGGGAGAGAAGTGAAAGAGAAAAGATGCTGGAAACTTCTTTGTGCCTGAGTTCCAGTCCACACAAGCCTACATACGTCCTCACTCAGCTGATTTGGAAGGCAAGCACTGAGCTGGGAGATGTGTTCCGCCATGTTCACCACTCCCTGGGGATATGTGCTTATGTTACTATCTGAACTGCTTCACTCTCCCTCAATTTCTGTTTCAAAAGGAGACGGTGGTGAAAAAGGAGATCCAGGAGAGGAGGGGAAGCATGGCAAGGTGGGACACATGGGACCGAAAGGTAGGTAAAATGAGATGGAATTTACACTAGCATTGCTTGTCTCTCTCTCCTGACCTTTGCACAGGAAATTATCAGCTTTCATAAAGCCCTCTTCCCCAGAGATATGTGAATTTGTTACAGGCACAAATTAACTTGCCACCCAAGAGCTCCTATGAGACCCCCTGTCAACAGGACTCAGACTCATTTCTCAAGCTGCATCCTTAGTGCTGGCTGGAATGGGTTACTCTGGGAACCCAGAGAACAGCAATCTTTGGGAATGTCTACGAAGACTGTGAGTTTTAGAAACACAGCTATGTTTATAGCCATGTCTCCCTTCAGAAGCCACAGCTTATCAACTCTTTTTGGGTATCCCAGAGCTTAAAGAGGAAAATAAGCAGGACCAGAAATAGTTCTCAGATCCATTGATTTCCTCCCCTTTTCCCCAAGATCCTGTTATTTTATTTTATTTTTTAATTCTTCTGTTTTTATACAGAGGAGTAACCCAGTGTGGTAAATGATGGGTGAGAGAGGGAATAGGAGCAAAGGAGATGAGAATGAAACGAAGGTTGGATGGGAATATTTTACTCACAGAGCCAAGAGGAACCTTGCCAAAACAAAGTTTCTGAATTTTGATGTGTAGGTCAGCATCATTGAAGCGCTTGAAATATCCCCTGCCTACTACTACCAAGTAGTTGCAGAGACCACTCACTGTTTTAAAAGCTTGAGCAATTGAGAGAAAAGACTCTTCGTCTCCTCAGAACTCAATTTGAAAGATGCTGACTAACTTTTCTTATTCTATAAGCATATATGTCAATTACAGAAGCAATCTCACAAGCTATGGCTTTATAAGTGGTAAATGTTTTCTAGATCATCATAGAAAATAGGCAAAATTAATAACAATGTTGGTGGAACTCAGTGATACTCAATCTTATCTTTTGGGAGAATAACTGATTTCTGATGCCCCTTTGATCACTAGATTTCATGATTGTTCATTTCCTCCCTGTTTACAAGTGTTGTTGTTGTTATGTGCTGTCGAGTCGGATCCAACTCCTAGAGAACGCTCCTTGGTTTTCCGAGACAGTATCACTACGGAAGTAGACTGCCCAACATCCCTTCCGAAGAGAGGCTGGTGGGTTTGAACCACCAGCCTTCTGGTTAGAAGTCAAGTGCCTTAGGCACTACGCTACCAGACATCATTAAACCTTGTTTTAAAACTGAAGAAAAATAGAATCCCAAAGTGAAGCCAAACTGAATATGGAGATGAGCAGAACCCAAGTAGAGCACAACATCCTCCCATACAGCCCTCTCCTTTGGCACAGTACCTAAGGCATTGGAACACCAAACAGAAGGTTGGCAGTTCAACCCCACCAGCTGCTCTGTGGAAGGAATTTGGGGCAATCTACTGCCATAAAGATTTATCAATGAGGGCCACTATGAGATTTTTTTTGTCTTTAAGCCTTTTAATATCATGTCCATGATTGTCATACTCACTCAATTTTAATTTTAATGTATTAAATTCCATTAAAATAGATAATATAGCACAGGATATAATATATATCACAAGTAGCAGAATATACATTTTGGTATTTCCATCAAGTGACTATCATAAATTAGCCATACCTTTAAGAAGAAGGGGGAAACACACATGCATACACAGGATATAAAGATGGCTTGCTTTGCTTCTCAGGAATTAAAGGAGAACTGGGTGATAGAGGAGACCAGGGCAATATTGGAAAGACTGGACCATTTGGCAAAAAGGGTAAGCAGCATATTAAATACTATTCCACTGTAGCATCTTAAAGCAAATTGAGCATATACTTAATACATTTTTAAAGGTTTTTTAATCACAAAAGTAATTTATTTTAAAATATGATTTCTCTCTTTTTTATATCTTGGCTGTTTCTTCCATCTGTAAGTACTGTGTCTCACACATCAACATTAAATAAAATAAACGCTTTCAGCAAAATTAAACATGAATTAAGGGATGGAATCAAGCATAAAATTCTGGTGGTCTCTATATCAAATTGTCTCCTGGTTAGCTAATAATCCTTGAGACCATCAAATGAATGCCATGGACCATGAGGCATGTGCAGTAGTGCAAAACAATTATCAATAAAACACAAGGTAGGAAGAGAACAACATAATTTTCTTCCTTAATTTGAGTGGAATAACTAGTATTTCTGGTTGTATGGTCTCTTAATAGGATAAGGAACTTGAAGTATATGTGTGCATATTCTTTTGTCTTCAGGCCTGTCCTGATTCTTTATATAATTACAAAGTCAGTATCATAAAATGTAGGCAACTCTCTCTTCATCATCTAAGCACTCCTTCCCTACCCTTGTCTCATAAAGGCATGCAATGGTAGCATAATCACTTGCTTCTGATAATTGCTATTTCATCCAAGCATTGTCCTACTTGGTCTGGAGACACAAAGCTGAATAAGAATCAAAACTGTGTTGCAAAGAACTTGCAAACTATTTAGGAAGACAGGAATTTCTCAAAAAGAATGATCATACAAAGTAACACAACCACTATAGGAACCTATAAAAATATCAAATGCTATGGAGGCTGGAAAAGATAGGAAAGATTGCTTCTGACTGGGAGAGTAAGGCAAAACGGATAAAGGTCAGTCTAGGAAGAACTAACCTGAGTCTTGAAGAATAAAAACTGTATGGAAAAGGGGAAGATGAATCTTAGGGGAGATGATACTTGTGTACAGGAGAAACTTGTGCAAAGTTACAGATGAGCTCAGTGCTGTGGGAAATATAATTAAAACTATGATGTTTTAAATGAATTTTTTATGTAGTATTTGTCTACTTTTAATATTTAATGATTAATTTTTATTTCTTTTCTCTTAATAACTATTCTTTTTTTTAACTTTTTATTGTGATTTGGGTGAAAGTTTATAGAGAAAACTTATTTTCCATTCAAGATTTCAAATACATTTTATTTTGTGGCATTGAGTATAGTTCCCACCATGTAACAGCAGTCTTCCAACTTCCTCCCTGTGTTTACTATTTCCATTTTTCCTTGATTCTTATCCCTTTTCTGCTTTCTGAGACTTATCCCTGGGCAAATGCTGCCCTTTTAATCTCAGATGGTTGATTGTTTTAAGGAGGGCTACCTCCTGGTGTTATTGTTCACTTTATAGCCCTGTCAATTGCTTGGCTGAAAGTTGAGCCTTGGGGGTGAATTCTGTTCCAGATCTGAAAGGTGTCTAAGTCTATAACAGTCTTGGGGATTCTACAAGTTTCTAGGAGACCAGTAAGCATGGTCTTTTTTTTTTTTTTAATGATTTTTACTTTTGTTCTACATTTTTTCCCCCTCTCCGTCTCTGTTCAGGCCCTTCTATGGTAATCCTGATCAGAGAATCAGTAGAGTGGTAACCAGGCACCATCTAGTTCTTCTGGTCTCAGGATAGTGGAGGTTGTGGACATGGTCCATTAGTACTCTGGACTAATTGTTTCCTTAAGTCTTTGATTTTCTTCACTCTTCTTTGCTCCAAATGGAGAAAGATCAACAGTTGCATCTTAGATGGCTGCTCGACGCTAAGACCTCAGTTACTACTCACTGAAGTAGGATGTAGAATACGGTTGTTGTGGATAACTATTTGTTTTTTATTATGTTAAAATATATATCACAATAATATTTGCTGTTTCAAACAGTCCTAAGTGTGCTGTTCAGTGACATTTAAATCACATTAGCCATGCTGTGCAGCTATCACCACTATCCATTTCTTTGGGGGGAAAAAACTACACCCTACCAGAAACCCAGTACATTTTGAACAGTAACTCTTCATTTCTCCCTCTCCCAGTCCCTGAAAACCACTGATAAATTTTGTTTCTATGTATTTCCAGTTCTAGATATTTCATGGGGACCTCTGGTGGTGTCGTGCCTAAAACATTTAACTGCTAACCAGAAGGTGGTTGAAACCCACCAGCCACTCCTCGGAAAGAAGGTTGGGCAATCTATTGCCATAGTGATACCACCTCGGAAACCCAAGGAGGGGTCACTATGAGTCGAATCCGACTCCACGGCAGTGAGTTTGGTTTTTGGTTTGAGATATTTCATATAGATGGAACCATATAGTATTTATCCTTTCAAGTTTGACTTACTTCACTTAGCATATTCTTTTTAAAGTGCATCTGTATTGTAGCAAGTATCATAACTTCATTTCTCTTCATGGCTGAATACTATTCTATTGTATATGTGCCACATTTTTTTTATCCATTCCTCTGTTGAAGGACACCTGGGTTGTTTCCACCTTTTAGCTATGGTAAATAGTGCTGCAACAATGAACACCGACCACAAGCATCTCTTTCAGTCCCTGTATTCAAGTCTTTTAGGTCCATACTGAGGTGTGGAATTGCTGAGTCTTATGGTAATTCCATAGAAGAAAGTCTTGGTGATTTACATGGGATCACCATGAGAGTCAGAGTCAGGATTGACTAGATAACTGTTTTTTGTTTTTGTTTTTTAATGGTAAATGTATGTTTAATATTTTGAAGAACTGACTATACATTTTACATTTTCTAGTTTCTCTACATCCTTGCTAACACTTGCTATTTTCAGTATCTCTGATAATAGCCATCCTACCCATTACCATTGAGTTGATTCCAACTCATGGAGACCATTGAGGGTAAAGTGGTATCTCATTGTGGTTTTGATTTACATTTCCTTAATGACCAATAATGTTTAGCATCACCTTTTTTATTTTTTAGTTAATTTTTATATATTGTATAGGTATGGGTCCATTTTCATTATTTTGCATGTAAAGATCCAATTGCCCCAGCACATAAATATTCATTTTAATGAAGACCTTTTTATTTGTAATTTTACATTATCTTTCTTAAAGAGAGCCCCATAAATTGTAATAAGCTTTAAAGCAAGCACATCATGGATCTGCCTCTGGCTGTATCAGCTTTATTTAACAATTGGTTAAAGGGATGGAAAGTATATCCAGAAAGTGGATTTTGCAGTTTAAGATTTCTGAAATGAAGTCTTGTTAGAAGCATTTAAGATTCTTGATATTGCTCTAGAGATCAGATGAAGTGGGGGAGGAATGTAAATCAATTACCATGAACAAGTCTAAAATTGAAGACTTTATTTTCACTCATTCATACTACATGTTTCACTTTCATAGATTGAGAGGTGCCAAGTCTAGCTGGGACTCCAACTACAAGAGGTGGAGTTAATGAACTATGCCTTAATCTTTTCTTAAAATATGAGTAGCTCACTGGACCAGTTGAGCCTGGAGGACTCCCTGAGACTTTTGCCCCGAGACACTCTTTAAACCTGGAACAAAACTATTCCATGGGGTCATCTTTTAGCTAAATAATAGGTTAACTCATAAAATAAACAACATCATCTGTGAATACAGTGCTCCTTTTAAAAATCATCTACATGAGACCAAATGATCAACATTTATCAAAAGCAAAGTGAGAAGGCAAGGGGACAGGTACACTAGGTTACTGGAAACAGAAAAACCAGAATGGAAGTGATGGGAAAGTTGACATACTGTGAAAAATGTAACCAATGTCACCAAACAAATTGCATAGAAATTGTTAAATGGGAACCTAATCTGCTGTGTAAACTTTTACATTAAATAAATAAATAATGAATATTTGAATTTTAATAGGTAGCAGGGAGAGTGGTAGATGATAGAGACAAGGAAAAATCAAGAGTTTTTAGTATAATTGCTTGAGCTTAAAGTGGATGAACTTCCAGAAATGCAGAAAACCTAACTTACCTCCTTCAATCCAATTCGTCCTTCAAGGCTCAGCTCAAGCATCACCTCCTCCAATACCTAGTGCACAGTTATATCACATATTCATTGTCATAGCTGAAAGGCTTGTCTGTTTCCCCTATAGACTGTGAACATCTAGAAGGAACAAATAAGTGAAAGATTTGTTGAGGTCTGTTTTCTTGAATAAACTTTAATTGGGAATCCTGTCTTTTTCCCCATTATATCCTACATACTTATTTTATAGTTGAAACTTTTAAATGTTTGTTGAGAGTGAATGAATGAATGATTAAATAAAGGGTATTTTCTACTCTTTATTCCTGTAAATATCACTTTCCTTTTAACATCAGTTTTCACCAATGGCTACTAAGATTTCCTTCTCCAGAGATGTGCCAACAAAATTTATGAGCCTGTCATGGAGTTTTTAAAAAATGGAGGCACAATGTTCTGATTCATCTGGATTAATTTCTTTTTTAATCTGTGCTTTGAAATTTACTGTCCTCGTTTTGTCAATAGCTCTTCTAAATTTTTCATCGATTCAGATTAATCTCAACTTTCTGGGCTGACCTTAGGGTTGTCACTTGCATGGATAAAGTAGCTTTCTGGATGTCAATATTTCATTTTAGGAATAAGAAAGAAGAATGATTTAGTGTAGGTAAATTCAATCCCATAGCAAAATAAATGTCTTTACTTAAGGTCAATAATCCTTTTACACTGAAAGCATTATGACTTCTTATTTGTTTGTTTGAATGCACGCCCTAATTCCTCAACCTTAAGACAGTTATTACCAGCCTGTTCCCACTCATGTGCCAAAATAAATTTTTTGTGGATGACTTTAAACCAGAATTGGTTTCCAAGAAATAGATATTCTAAGTTCAAATCTTCCACGTACTAGCTAAGTACTGTGTATGAATTTCCTACCATACATCTGATTTAGGGAGCAGAAGCTAGTGTTTGTTGAGCATCCTCTACCAGTTGAGTACTGTGCTATTCCCCTGAAAAGAAAACATTATCTCATTTACCCTTCATAATGATTTTATGATTTTTTGATATCATTATTTCCATTTGTAAATGAAAAAACAGAAGCCTGCAGAAATTAAGTAACCTGTCCAAGTTTCGCCAGTGGAGTGGTAGATCCAAGATTCAAAGCCGAATTTTGCTGACTTTCGTGATTCTTCACCTCACTAGACTACTTCATCTTTCCCATCTGTCAAAAATGGAAAGGAATTCACCTCAAGATGCTGAAAAGTAGCTCAAGTCCTTACATCTCCTCAGGAGAAAAGTGCCACATAAATTCTAGAAGTTGTTTCTCACATTGCTAAGTCCCAGCTGGAGGACCCGTTCCTCCATAAATCTCTACCATGATCCACAGCCATCTTTTCCTTCTCTGGAGACTTAGCAGGCACTTTACTTCTTTCACTCTGTGTGGATATGATAGCATCCCATCTGCTTGGCCTCTTATTTGAGATTTGTTTTTCTAATATACTCATCATTTCTCCAAAGGAATATTCTATTGATGTCCATCTTTGACCTTAGCCCACAAACCCTATCATAGCAGAAATAGAATAAGCTTTCAGCCCATGATCAACTCACTTGACACATAAAGAAAACAAACTGGTTTTTAAATTAAAATATTAGATTCATACTTAAATGATCTTTTAAGTCAATGTTCTTTTTAGTGGTAGTAATAGGAGCTCTGGTAGCCTAGTACCTAAGGCATTTGACTGCTATCCAGAAGGCTGGCAGTTCAAACTCACCAGACACTCCTCAGAAGGAAGATTGGGCAATCTACTCTGCACTGATACCACTTTGGAAACCCAAGGAGGAGACTCAACAGCAGTGAGTTTGGTTTGGACTTTTAAGGACTGGTATTACTTCAGAATTCTGATAGTATTTTCCAAAGGTTTTGTTTTCCTTCATTAAATCATGGAATAACTCATCTGGGAAGCACCATGAGCTGGGGAGTCAGAGATGGTTGGATTTGAATACCAGCCATGCCATTTAATTGCTGGATGTGTTTAAGTAAGTTACTGAAGCTACCTAGCTCATAGAATTTAATATGATAATAGGTATAAAGTATCTAGGGTGGTACTTGGCACATAATAAGCATTTAGCAAATATATATAATTCCTTTCTTCTTTTAACATATTCCCCAAATTATCTTTTCTAATTTGTGCTTAAGGGAATGAAGATGTTAAGGACACAGCTGCAGTGTGAGAAGGTCAATATTCCTCAGCTGGATGCTCAACGTATCTCCATGCTTCTTGCCATCTGTTCCTTCTTTCTACACATCATCAGCTATAGTGCTCCTATCTTCACCTGATGAAGATTTTCATGGCCAAGTCCAAATTCTGTCTGCACAGGACAGCCACAGTGAAGGCTTCATTCATTCCCCGAGCTGAAACTCTTTCTCTTCTGGATCCCTCCCAGAGTGTGTAGTCTCTGTTTGCTGTTTCTCTCACAACATTTATCACTTTCTATTGTCATAGGTTTCATCATTGTCTTGTTCCATTCAAGTGCAAGTGCTGGGGCTTCCCCACGTACACTTAAAACTGCATCCTGGATTCAAGGACCTTACATTTAGAGAGCTCACTAATGACTCGCATCCACGTGGGTCAGTTTAGAAAGGCTTGCAGCCCTGGAAGGCCAGTCTCCTCTTGGTTGACTGACAGCACTCAGCAGGCAGTCATGAGAAAGGTAACTAGTGGGCCTCGTCAGTGCAGGCAACACAGGTCAGCCCACAGGCTTTACAGTGGCTCCTACTTTTGCCCTGTTGCTGGCAGTGTAGGATGAGGCTAGACAGAACCTCAGTTCCAGCTGTATCCCCTTCCCCGCAGTCTCCTCACGTCTCATCTTCAATTCCCTGGCTGCATGAACCTCTCCCAAGAGTAAGCCCCATACCTCTTTCTGGCTTAACTTAAAAACAAAACAAAACACTGCCATGGAGTTGATTCCGACTTGCAGTGACCTTATAGGATAGCAGTAGAACTGTGCCCTAGGGTTTCCAAGGGTGTAAATTTTTAAAGAAGCAGACAGCCTCATCATTCTCCTGAGAAAAAACTTGTGGGTTCCAACCGCTGACTTTTTAGTGAGCAGCCGAACGCTTTAACTGCTGCAGCACCAAAGCTCCTTTCTCTCTCACTTAGGTGACCTTGACCTTTACCCTGTTTTTCAGCCCTCATTGGTTTCTCTTTTCTTTTCTTAGTCCAGATCACCACTGACACATAAATTCTATTCTACTTCTATCAGGTCTTCCCTTTTGATGCTGCAGAACCTCAGCCAAACATTTGTTCTTATAAATCAAAAGCTTTTGCTTTCAATTACTGTCTCTGATGTGAGCTTCAAAAACTTATTGTGAAGTTGAAAAAACTCCATCCTTTTCTTTTTTTTTTTTTCTTTCTCTTTGCTCTAACAATCCTAATTCTCGTAAAATTATTTTGTGGATGCCTCTGAGTGAGTAAGAAAATGGTCACGTACAAGGAAGAGTAAAAGTTGCTATTTCAGTATAATACCTTGACACTCTCATATTACAGATACTGGCAAGCATCACATCTCTGCTAAAAATTAGAAACTCCTTCAAGCCTGAAGCTTAAACTTGACTCTCTTTATATCCTTTCAAAGCACCTAGTCCTTTGTGTTGCACAGAGTAAGCAAACAGTAAATATTTACCGAATGAAAGAGAAAAGGCGCAATAGGTGTTTTTGAAAATCCAAGGGCAAAGAACATGAAATAAGTTGGAGCAAAATGCATACAGAGACACTGTGAGGCGTTCATCAGTTGTTCCAGATTTGCAAGACAAATGTACTTTAAAATTAAAAACAAAAATTAAGTTAAAAATTAAATTAAGTGAGAAAAAAAAAAATTAAGTGAGAGCTATATGGAAGGAAACTTTCTTTGTTCATTACCAGGGGTAGGAGGGGAGGGGAGTGAACACTGCAAAAATAAAACAAAAATTAAATTAAAATGTAAAAAAAAAAAAATTAAACCTTTCCTGAGAATTAGGTTACCTTTGTTCAGAAGGCCATGTCATGAAAACATGTGAGTAGGATAGGTAGCAAGCATTCCTGTTAGTGTAGTGGTTAAGTGCCAAGCTGGTAACCAAAAGGATAGTGGTTTGAACCCACCAGCCACTCCACACGAGAAAAGACCTGGTGGTCTGCTCCTGTCAAGATTACAGCCGAGAAACCCTGTGATACCTCAGTCCTATTGGGCCATTATGAGTCAGAATGGACTGAATGGCAAACAAGGATAACAAACAAACAAAACCCTTGCCATAGAGTTGATTCCATCTCATGGTGACCTTCACAGGGTAGAGTAGAACTGATCCATAGGGTTTCCAAGGCTGTAATCTTTACAGAAGCAAACTGCTCCATATTTCTCCCACAGAGCAGCTGGGGGGTTTGAATTGCCGATCTTTCACTTAGCACCCAAGTGCTTAAATATTGTGCCACCAGGGCTCCTAACAAAGGAGATAGGTAACACAAATCCAAATGTTCCTTACATATTCTGCTAGAATTCTAGATTGTATCCAAATAAATTATGATGACTCTTTTTGTTAGTTAACCTCTGCAGCCAGCTCAAATTATTTATATAAAACCAAGGGATGCTAGTTGGAGATATTTCTAATGAAAGTTAAAAACTGTTTCCCCTGATTTTAAATATATACGATATTGTCTACCTGAAATTATTCACCATCTTCTTTCATTGTTCTTTTTGCTGCTATTTTCTTTATTCAGGCGACAAAGGGGAGAAGGGTTTGCCTGGGATACCTGGAGGAAAAGGTAAAGCAGGTACAGTATGCCCATTTTTTCCCTTGATTTCTGGCATCGTTCCCAATGTATTCAGCTTCAAAAAAAAAAAAAAAAAGCACAGTGAGATATATGCATATTTAGGAGTCTCAGGAGGAACTCTGGTAGCATAGTGCCTAAGGCACTTGACTGCTATCCTGAAGTCTGGCAGTTCAAACCCACCAGCCACTCCTCGGAAGGAAGATGAGGCAATCTACTTCCATAGTGATACTGCCTCGGAAACCCAAGGAAGGGGTCACTATGAGTTAGGTTTGACTCGACGGTACATAACAACAACAACAGGAGTCTCGGGGTAGTGCGAATGGTCCGTAGGCTTGACTGCTAGCCAGGTATTTGCAAGTTCAAGTCCACTCAGAGGGGCCTTGGAAGAAAGGCCTGGAAATTTACTTCTGAAAAATCAGCCATTGAAAACCCTCTGGAGCACAGTTCTACTCTGACGCACATGGGTCACCATGAGAACTGACTGAGCAGAACCGGTACTGCTGTACTGACATATTGAAGTTCAAACGAGAGTCCTCCTGTTGGGTTTGACATACTTCCCTCGGGCTAGTTCACTAACTCAGAGGGAAGAAGGGAACTTTCCTCTCCATCCACTGCTGGCTTTCCAAGCCCTGGGGAGTGGATGATGGCATGTGCCATCCCATCGTACTTACTGTGAGGAAGCAAATCCAAGCACATCAAGGAGTAGCCCTCATTCTTGCAGACCAGGAGACAGTGGGCCCCAGCCGTAGGGCCTACGTCAGCATGCCTTACATTCCACTGCACCTCAACCGAATCCTGGCCAGCAGCAGTTTGCCAGCAGCAAACTGGCCAGATCTGGAAAGTTCCTCATGGTCACAGAACACGCTTTTAATGGCCAGGGAGATTCTCCCTGCATACTGAAAGAAAGTTTTATCTCCTGTGTTGTGTGCAGGGGAAGAGGGAGATTGTTCTTGGGTCATTTCACTTGTTACTATCCATTGGGATAGAGTGGAGTTTAATTTTAAGGACTGTTTTAAATTCATAATATTTCATGGTGGTTATATTAAATTAGAAGTCCCTGTGTATGCACTTAGCTGGTAAACAAAAGGAGGTTTGAGTCCCCCCAGAGGTGCCTGGGAAGAATGGCCTGGTGACCTACCTTCAAAAAATGTCATTGAGAACCCTAGAGAGCACAGTTCGACTGTGACACACACGGGGTTGCCATGAGTCAGAATCAACTGATGACAACTGGTTGGTGGTTATAGATAAATAAAGCCATACATTCATTGATTGATAGATAGAATTAATTTATTGGCTAATGAAATTATTTTTCACTACCAAGAAAAAAAGCAAACAGACATGAATGCATAACCAAAACCAAAACCAAACTCACTGCCGTGGAGTCGATTTTGACTCATAGCAATCCCTCCTTGGGTTTCCGAGGCGGTATCACTACAGAAGTAGATTGCCCAAACTTCCTTTTGAGGAGTGGCTGGTGGGTTTGAACTGCCAGCCTTCTGTTTAGCAGTCAAGTGCTTTAGGCACTACACCACCAGAGCTCCTGTGTATGCATAAAGCAGCCCTTAAATAGAAAAAGAGAATCATTTGGATTTCATGTCTTTCTTACAATTCTTCCTCAGTCACACCAATGCCAGTAGGTAGTAAGGAAAGTAAGCAAAGGGGAATAGAATAAATTTACAGCCTAGTTAATCCATAACAATTGAAATTATAAATTGGATCTACTTATGGGGGTTGAATGTAACCCTTGAACCATGAAAGCCATACTTCTAGTTGATAAACAGAATTAGCATTTGATATAGATCATGGCAGTTTTCTCCATCTTGGGACAGTTGTATGAGCCAGTGAACAATGCAGTAACAGGAGAGAAAATGGACTATAAATGCATTTAATACATTAAGAAAACTGTAAAGATTTTATTCTGAGGTTGGACAAACAAGTTCTGTTTTCAACAAAAATGCCAAATGTTCAATAATGTGTAGATAGTGGTTGGTCATGTTTACTCTTGTTTTTTTAAAAAATGTGGTTTAGAACTATCTTTTATCTCATTCAAAATATTTATGAAGACATTTACTGAATTCCTAAAGGAAATGTAAATTACAAAACTTGTTTCAAATAAAAAATAAAAAGTATAGCCATCTATAGAGAAAGATAGTAAGATTAGAAAAAGACAGTAAGTAACATATGGAAGAAAACATACGCTTTTTTGGAAGAAAGCATGCTTTTTTAAAGTGGTCTGCATGTGTTTCATTGTAAAGTCTAAATTCAAACTCTATGAATATATCAGTTTACAATTTCGAAAGCTTTTTGTCCAATTTATGGATTGATTAGGATGTTGATTCATTCTATTCCCCTTTGCTTATCTTCCCTTTGAGCTACTACTGGCATTTTATTTATATATTTTAACATTTGAAGGTACTGTCTGTGATTGTGGAAGATACCGAAAAGTCGTTGGACAACTAGATATTAGTGTTGCTAGACTAAAGACATCTATGAAGTTTGTCAAGAATGGTGAGCATATTTTATTTTTCTTTGTGCTGTATATCTCTCTTTGGAGTTTTTAATACTAAGTTCCCAGCATCCCTAGCAAGAGGCCTCCTGGGTTGGCAAAAGCTATTGAGATCATGATACTAGTGTAAAAGTTTCTTAAAATGCTAACTATTTCCTTCAGCTCTAGACACTTCAAAGCTGCTATTTAGAGTATACTATTATATGTACAGGGAGCTTTGGTAGCTTAGTGCCTAAGGCACTTGACTGCTTATCAGAAGGCTGGTGGTTCAAACCCACCAGCCACTCCTCGGAAGGAAGATGGGGCAATCTACTTCTGTAGTGATACCGCCTCGGAAACCCAAGGAGAGGTTGCTGTGAGTTGGGGCCGACTCAACAGCACATAACAACAACAACAACAACATTATATGTACAAAGGAGCCGTGGTGGTGCAGTGGTTAATTGCTTGGTTGCTAATTGAAACATTGGCAGTTCAACCCATCAGCTGCCCACAGGAGAAAGATGTGGCAGTCTGCTCCTATAAAAATGGCAGCTTTAGAAACCCTATAGGGCAGTTCTACTCTGTTCTCTAAGATTGCTATGAGTTGGAATCAAGTCCACAGCAATGGGTTTGGTTTGTTTTTTTAGTATATGTGCATTTCCAGAAAGAGAGGTATGGCAAAATGGTCAAAGTTTGGTGAGCTGTCCCTTAAGAATGAAAAGGACCAGCAAGAGTCAAATAGAACTACCACTTCAGAATACAGAAGTAATAATACCAATAGCTTAAGCATTTAGAAGAGTACACTACTGCTAGCATCATCTTACTGAATCTACATGGTTGACTGAATCTTCAGTTAGTCCTCATTGTTCACAGATTCTTTTTGTGAATTCATCTACTTGCTAAAATTTATTAGTGACCCCAAAATCAATACCCAAGACAGTTCTGTGGCCATCCGCAGACATGCACAGAGGATACAGATTTGAGTTGCTCAACGCAACATACACTCCTCGGTGAATAAGGCAGAGCTCCACCTTCTTGTTGCAGCTCTTATAATGTAAACAATGGTTCTCTCCACGGTCTGCTTAGTGCTCTTTGTTGCTTTTTGCATTTGTCACATTTTTGTGGATTTTGTTCGTGGTTTTGCCTTTTCAAAATGGCCCCAGAGCATAATGTTGAAGTGGTGTCTAGTGTTCTGAGTGCAAGAAGACTGCAATGTACCATATGGAGAAACTAGGTGTTAGACAAACTTCTTCAAGGCCTAAGGTTATAATGCTGTTGGCCACGAGTTCAATAATGCATCAACACCATGTGGTAAATAACAGGTCTTTAAACAGAAACACACAAAACAAAGTTATATATTGATCAGTTGATGAAAATACCGTAACCAGAGGCTTATAGGAGCCTAGCCCTGTATTCCTCCAGGAACAAAGGTTCAGTATTGGTTAAGTCAGTGTCTGTGGCAACTTTATAGGAGATCTACTACGAATAACAAGAATCAACTGTAATTTCTATGATGTAGGTGCTGTGATTAAACTGAGGCTTAAAGAGAATAGTTTGCCCAGATACAGAACTAATGAGCAGTGAAGAAGGGATTTTAATACAAGTTTCTCTGATTTTTCTGTCCACAATACAAATCAGTAGCAACTTTATGTGTTTTCTAACTTGTAATTTCCAAATATTGTTGTTGTGTTGTTGTTATGTGCCGTCGAGTCAGACCCGACTATAGCGACCCCTCCTTGGGTTTCCAAGGCAGTATCACTACGGAAGTAGATTGCCCAACCTTCCTTCCAAGGAGTGGCTGGTGGGTTTGAACTGCCAGCCTTCTAGTTAGCAGTCAAGTGCCTTAGGCAATACGCTACCAGAGCTCATTTTCACATATTGTTGTTGTTGTTGTTATATGCCATCGAGTCGGACCCAACTCTTAGCGACCCCTCCTTGGGTTTCTGAGGCAGTATCACTACAGAAGTAGATTGCCTCATCTTTCTCGCAAGGAGTGGCTGGTGGGTTTGAACCACCAGCCTTCTGGTCAGCAGTCAAGTGCTTTAGGCACTACACTACCAGAGCTCCACATATTAGTCACTGTTATTCCTTCTCCATTCCCACATACCAGCAGCAAAATCCTTAATGTGGAAAGAGCTTTTGTATTTTTTTTCTGGGACAATGGGAATGTTGTACTTTCATGTACTGAAATCCAACTATATTTGTTCTCATTAGGGGAAGGTCACAGATGCCATCTTGTGTTCATCCTCATCTTGTAATACCAGAGGCATAGGAAACACTTGATATTAATTAGCTCCCTAACTATAGTTCTAATTCTGGCCCATGTTAAAGATGCCTTCTCTTAAATGACTTGGACTGTGATGAATAAATTAGACCCCAAAGATTTAACAGAGGGCAATAGTTCTTAACATTTTAGTGGTACCAGGTTTCTTTGTCAGTTTAATTAAAGTTAAACCAAACTCATTGAGTCGATTTCAACACATAATGACCCCCACTGGGTTTTCAAGGCTATAAATCTTTACAGAAGCAGACTGCTTCATCTTTTGTCTGTAGAGTGGTTGGTGGGTTTGAATCACCAACCTTTTGGTTAGCAGGCAAATGGCTTAACCACTACGTCACTAGAGCTTCTTAATTAAAGTTATGGGCCATAAAATGTCTATGTAGAAGCCCTGAGCTCTCAATACATAGATTCCCTGTTATTAGCTCAGGATGATTCTGAGTACCCAATTCTGTCCTGAAGTTTACTCAGGAGCTCAGTCTCTTTCATGTATCTGGGAGGAGGTGCACACAATTTCAATATATGTACATATTTATAGCCAGGAGTTGGGCCCAAAATGGACAAAGTTATTATTATTCATATATCCGTTCAATAAGCTTTTATCATTCCTTGAATGTTCCAGTAACTGAGGTTACAGAGTAAAAAGAACACAGACATTTTGCTCAAGACACTCAGTTTGTTAGGAGAGACTCAAAAGTAAAGGATTAGATTAGAATATGATGACTGCATGAAAGGAAGAAGTAGAAGGGCAGTGGAGATATTGGGGAAGAGCATACAAGAGACCCCATTTCTGACCAGGAGCATTGGAAAGGATTCTTATAAGAGGTAATACTTCCACTGAGAACTAAAGGACAAATGGGAGCTTGTAGATAGAGAATCAGTGAAAAGGCTTTCCAGGCACCTAGACACAGAGGTTAGAGAGAGAAGGGCATGTTCATGGGACTACAAATATTGCTAAAGTATACATGACCCCCATTGGGTTTCTGAGGTGGTAAATCTTTACAGAAGTGGATTGCCCCATCTTCTTCCATGAGTAGCTGTTGAGTTTAAATCGTCAACCTTCTGGTTAGCAGTCAAATGTCTTAGGCACTGCACCACCAGAGATCTTTAAAGCCTAAACTAGGATGGAAAAATGTGATGAGCCGTATGGATGCCCATGGAATAAATCTCTGTCTACATAGCTCTCTGCTGGACAGCTGTGTTGGAAGTTGAGGAGGAAGGGGTGGGAAGACAATGGTAGAAGTTTATTCTCCATTTGATAGCTAGCAAGGTGAGAAAAAATTAAGCCAGTTCCTACCTCACAAGAAGGCCTCACAAAATGATTGTTGAATATTGACTAAGAGATTTTAAATCATTATGTATTTTCCTTTTTTTGAGATACATATTCATATCCTTTCTTTCCTCCCTGCAAAGTCATAGCAGGGATTAGGGAAACAGAGGAGAAATTTTACTACATTGTACAGGAGGAGAAGAACTATAGGGAATCTCTGACCCACTGTCGGATCCGGGGCGGAATGCTAGCCATGCCAAAGGATGAAGCTGCCAACACACTCATTGCTGACTATGTTGCCAAGAGTGGCTTCTTCCGCGTGTTCATTGGGGTGAATGACCTTGAGAGAGAGGGGCAGTATGTTTTCACCGACAACACTCCTCTGCAGAACTACAGCAACTGGAAAGAGGGGGAGCCTAGTGACCCCTATGGCCATGAGGATTGTGTGGAAATGCTGAGCTCAGGCAGATGGAATGACACGGAGTGTCATCTTACTATGTATTTTGTCTGTGAGTTTGTCAAGAAGAAAAAGTAACACCCCTCATGCTACATGTTTGTTATTTCCCTATGACTATCACTGTAGTGTTTTGTTTTGTTTTTTGTCCGTTAATTTCTTCCTAACAACACTAAATTCATTCTGACTCATGACAAGTAGGAAATGCTAAATTGAGGTGTAGAATGCCTGTCATGTTCCTCTGTGATGATTTTCAGCCAATAACTCACCAGATTACATGGACACTTAGGGAGAGTTGAATTACTAGTTGTGCAAGAAGACAATTGTCTCAACGAATGTTCTCAAGTGATACAGTCTCTTTGCATTTGCTTTACCACCTCTTCTTAGATCCCTATAGCACTCTCAGTCAAATCCAGTGGATAATCAGATGATTGGTCAGTGACCATCAAACTAACTTAAACTTGTCCAAAGCCAGACATGGGAGTATCTTTTGTTAGTAAGGTGTCCCGAGGTGATGCTTGTTTGCTATCCAAATGCTTGGAGATTAAAGTCCACCCAGAGGCACCTCAGAAGAAAGGCCTGGTAATCTACATCTGAAAAATCAGCCATTGAAAACTCTTTGGAGCACAGTTCTACTGTGACACACCTGGAGTAGCCATGAGTCAGAATCGGCATGATGACAACTGGTTTATAAATGGTGATTCTGTTAGTAATGTCAAGACAGTATCTGTCTTTGAACACACTACTCTCAGTTCTTGGACCAGTCATCCACCATGGCCATAGTTACAGTCATACTTGCAAGATCCCCTTGTTCACAAAGAAATGGTTTAACCTCAAGCCTCTGTATGAGGAACATCTATCCTCGTGATCTGTTCCAGACCATGTGGAACCATACACACTCATTTTGTGCTTCTAATCTACAGCCTTCACTAAAAGGATATCAAACTATTGCTTGAGTCCACTTTCTGTGGGCCCAGACCTTAACCCCAGTCTCCTAGATGGTAACATGCCTATTTTAAGAAAATGGAAATCTAGAAATTGAAAAGAAAAAAGAGAATGTGTTCTCAAACAATATTATCTATGTTGTTGTTGTTGTTATGTGCCGTCGAGTCGGCCCCGACTCATAGTGACCCCTCCTTGGGTTTTCAAGGCAGTATCACTACGGAAGTAG